ACAGTAGTATTTGGCAAGGTTTTAGTCACAGTTTCAAAATGTTTCTGGTGTGTGCTGAACTTCAAAAATGCCACTAGTCCTGGACCACTATGAGATATGTAACAATAATCAATGTACAAAAATATAATTCGTTAAAATGATACTTAAAAATTACCCGTATATGCAGCTCATATTTGTTTGAAAATGCGAGAATCCAGGAGGTATTGGATTTCCAGATACAAACAATAGGACAGCCGCTAAATTATTCGGCCGCTCGTCGATCAGATGAACAGTAACGCCGGAATAATCCAGAACTCGGCCCAAAAACGGATGTGCATAATGCACCTTAAAGTTTTACCATAATATATTATGAGTAGGTCTGAAGAAATACTTTCCTTGACAAACGAAAAGATCTGGTTGTTTTAATTTTATTAAAATTTTTCAGTTAGAAATTTCGCTGCCTAACATGCTTCCTTTCGTCGCTTTCCTCCAGAACAGGTGGGGGTGGGAGGTGGAGCGGGGGGAGGGGGGGGGGCCTCCTCGCCTTCACACTCCTCCAGAATAGGCAGGGGCTCCCGGGAAGTGGCTCGAGCCTGGCTCCAATAGCAATCGCTTATTGGCACCACCGTCAATATTTCTTCTTCCGAAGGTTGCTTATTAGCAAGCTGATGGGAATTTGATTCCCAACATATGCCAGTACCAATTTACCATCGAAACAAATGAAGGAAAATAAAATCAAATAATTTAGAAATATTGATGTACCTGTAACACCAGATATTTGATTTGATCCGTTTCATGTCCAACACTAAATGCAACACCTTCAGGCAAACGAAGATCGGGTGCTGTAAAAAAAAAAAAAATTAATTTTACTTTCAAATACATTTACTTTCAAATACTCACTCTAAGCAATACCTATAACTCAACAGTCACAATGCACGGATCTGTTGTGAAAAAACAAATTTAATTCTAAATAATTTAAATTTTCATTTTTTTCGAAAACCAGATTACGTTTACTTTTTTTTTGCTTTTATAATGAATCAAAATTTCGATTTTTTGAGCGTTTGTGAAAACTTTTTCAAAAACCAATTGGACAGCACAGCGCAGTAGCAATTTCTCTCTTACTCGTCGTAAAGGGTTCAGTCCCGCCAGCGAAATTCATAAAAGTATTTTAGACAAAACTTAGACAAAATTATCTCAGTAGCTGGACAAAAGTATCTTGGACAGAAATTAGCCAGAGCTAAAATATATTCTATTTTACTACAGGCGCTTACGATAACCAAAACGAAAAAAGTCGATCATAATAAAAGCTGTAGTTATAAATAGCTTACCATTTCTGGCCCATGCATATAGGATATGTGATGGTCCTCGGCAAGTTTCCAGTCCCCGCCACAGGGGCATTGCTTTAGCCGGATAATCACATCCAAACAACAATATATGATGAATGCGATCCGCGTCAGCAAATGGCTCAAAACGCACTAAAAAATGACGAATTGCATCAGGAAATATATATTCTTTGTGGAATGATGGAAAATCTTTCTCCCCACCTCCGCTCCGACCTTCAGCAAAATAGGAATTTCCACATTAATTCCGCTGATGGATTTTTTCATTTAACGACAAGGAAGGAGTCGGGGTGATTCAGCCTTTTTTCCCACTCTATTCATAATGCAGTAGGTTTGTTCGTCAAACAAGACATATGCAAATGTCATGCATTTGGCTTAAAAAAAACGGGACATATGTAAATGCCATGCGTTCGAAAAACTGCCTTCATCACTTGAGCTTCGAAGCTGCACCAAAAAAAAAGAATAACTCAAATGGTACATTCAATTAGCATTACAATTGAAGAAATGCATGGGCAATGCTTTAAAAATTGGAAAAATGAGAGGAAAAAAAGGCGAAGAGGGAGAGGAGAGGGAGATTAGGTGAGTGGGAGGAATAGGACGAATTCTGAATAGGAATCTGAATAAGATCGCATAATTTTTATCGTAAAAATTCTAAACATTTAAAAAAGCAAAAAAAAAAAAAAAACTAACCAATGTATCCGGGTTGTATGGCCATACTCACTGCAACATAATCGTCGTCCTGAAAAAAAAAGCAAATATTTATCCAAAGAGTTGATCGGCATCTCTTTTCATTCCCTGTTCTTTGACCTTTTTTCTCCGTAATTTTGGATGATGTGGATGCGAAGCAAGCAAAAGAAAAAGTTGCCAGCTGCATAAATACAGTTCGAGACTATCCACAGTGTAATGGTCATCTGTTTTTTTTTACAGCCATAATAAGCAACATTTTTTGCCTGTGAATCAACGAATTTGTTGTATTTCACAATAAAAAAACGAAGGAATGCCTCCGGAATTGCCCCGATGGAGAGCATTTCGTTGACGGGACTGTGAGATTTTCTCTACATTCGAGGATTGCTACTGGTGTGAATCATACCTCCCCTCCCCCCACTCGCTTAAAAAAAATTTTAGAAATATTACGGAAAACCAAATAGTTTGAGAAAAAAACCAAATTATAGGATATCCTGAAAATATCGGAGGAGGTCGTATTTTCTACTGCCAAATATATACACCTGGACGTCTTTCGCCAAAATTCCTGCTCATTTGGAGCCTTTTCTTTCGCCAAATTTTTGAGGGAATTTTTTGATGTAACTGCTTGTTGATCAATCAGTGTAATATCAATAACTCTAAGTCACTAGTTTCGTTACCAGAACTGGATGCAATTTGGGATGCGGTAAAAAAGAAGGGTACCAACTAGCAGCAAGGAATTCAAAATAGGACCTGCTGTAGTTATACTAACTTTATAAACGATTTTTGATTTTACGGTCCTTTCAGTGCTTTGGAAAAATGCCGGACAGTTGCAGGATAAATTGGCTTGTTATGAGTTAATAATTGCTCCTTCTTCCCTCATCCCATTCCTCCATCCCTCTACCCGTGACAGTTGCAATATTTAGATCAGCTGTACTTCACAGCAACAAAATATACGTGGTTGTCAAGTATGGGCACGTGAAAATTTTGGCGAGAAAATCGCTAACTCGGGAACCAGAAAAGCTAGAATGCCACCAGAAACATCTCCGGCTGCTTTGATCGTGCTATGACCTCTGGCAATCGGTCTGCTGACGATCTTGAGATTTATTTGGTTTCACGAAGGGATTATCAAGCTACTTTCGAAGCGTAATTAGATATCGGTAACGAACAGGAGCAATCCGAGAAAGTTTTATGATACCCAAACGTGTTTTACTACAGAATAACTTACAACTACAGGTGCATAGCCATCTGTTTGTATGGTCACTTGACGGATTTGCTGCGTATAACGTGAAACTGACACGCCGGTGATAGCCAGGAACCACCTGGCCACCAGAAATACCACCACACAAATCCTCTTCATTTCATTCATCTGAAAAGAAAAACAGACTGTTTCAGTGGTGAAATAGCTGAGCCGCTGAAATCCACGTTTTCGCGTGAAAACGGACGTAACCTAAACACGTGGGCACTAACTTGGACATTCATTAATGGCTTCGAAAATACATGAAAATAATTAATAGGCAATCGAAACATTTGAACAAAAATACACGTCACCGGGTAATAATTGGAAAATATTAAGATTAAGATATTAAGATTTTTTAATGCTTTAATCTTAATGTTTTCTTAATATTAAGATCAATACTAAGAAAATGTCAAGATTTTTTTTAAGATTAAAAAATCAAAAACTCAGTAATAGAAAACACTAAAAATCATGAAGAGGAATGTTTCGATCCATTAAGTCATACACATTCCTATTCATCGTCTGAACCGATATATATAGCTATTCACTGATTTGATCGGTAACGTTTGGGACAAGGAGGTGAATGCTGAATGCATAGAAAATATATTGCGAAACGGCTAAAGCCTGTCAAGTGCTTCTGTCAGAAAAACCACTGAGCTGATAACTTCTTTTAAAAGACTAAACGAGTATTAGCACTGCTGACCATCAAGTGACAGAGCATTGGTCAGAACACCTGGAAAGCTGCCAGCCTCAAATCAACAACTGTTTCAGGTGTTCAGCAGCAATTGCTAGCTGCATCTCGGTAAAATCGACAGTCCAAAATCGATAGCCCAAGTGATTCCAGTGATCCTCCTCCAATCAGCTGACCAATCAATCTTCATCATCAAAGAGGGTGAATGCTTAAGCAAAATCGACAAGACATACAGAGAAACAGTCCAATGGGTCAAATTACACGATTGCCTAAAATGTCTTCTTAGCCACATGACACTTAGTCCAATCCCTCATAAACTACACGATTTCTTTAGAAGAGATAATACAAATGTCTGGTTGAAATATCTGTGAGAATGGATATTAAGGATGTTGGGAATTTTTCTGTGATTTTAATTTTAGTTGGTATATGTTTAAGAAAGGCTGTAAGGAAATAAAAAAGGGGAATGTGAATAAAATAAAATTAAAATCTGAATGGGAATGTTTCAGCCCAACAAGTCGCATACATTCCTATTCAGTGCTGCAACTGGCCTAGTCATCCAAATACCGCCTGGGTGGGCTACTGATCATTGTGTAGATCTCCAGCTATATAGTTGACAACTTTTTCAGTTGCTTTGATCAATGCTGCATCGCTTGGTGGTGTTTTATTGGCAGCGATTTGTTCGTTCGCCACGTTCGTTTCGTCTCCTGAAGGGCGATTCTAACGCTTGTCTCGTCCCCTGAAGAGTGATTCTTATATCCGTTTCGTCACCAATTCTCTGGGCAGAAGCATTTGGAAAGGCTTTAGCCTCATTTTAAGTACCAGCACCTCGTCCAGGCTTATTCAAACAAAAAAAATAGGGATTTTTTCGAAGTTCGAATGCAAATCGCTGCTGCTAATAATATGAAGCAGAGCAATGCTCCTCATCGCCCGTTCGCCATCCCATACCATCATCGAATATGATGAACACTCTTGGAAAACTCATTTTTAAAACCAAAAAAAACTGCACTTATGATGCCAGAGGGAAGCAGCACAGCATGCAATAGTTATAATGACATCACTGCATCTCGCTCTCTCATCAGTCTTTAATTAAAGGCAAAAATAACTCACCGGATGAGGGAGAACACGAAGACATCATATCCCAGGCAAAAATTTGTCAGTTCTGGATAATATAAGCAGTATCAATGATTCTCAATGCACATACATACATACGCACACATGCATACATACATACAAACATACATACATACATACATACATACATACATACATACATACATATATATATGTATATATATACATACATATATACGTACATACATATATACATACATACATATACACATACATATATACATACATACATATATACATATATATATATATATATACATACATATATACATACATACATATATACATACATACATACATACATACATACATACAT